AGAGAGACTACTCCTCCTCCTAGGAAATATATTCTGAAGTACCAAGAGGTAAGAGGTATACAGGCATGATGAATATAACTTATTCTCAAATGGTTCAGAAAAAAATGTATGTGTAAATATATCAATTTACATATATAGATTTCTTAGAATAAAGCAAAAGTGGAAAAAATGTTAACAATTGGTCACTCAAAGTGAAGGTTATATAGCTGTTCTCTGTACTATTTTTCCAAATATAATATTCTTCCAATTATTTTTATACATTTAAGATTATTTTGAGGAAGATTTTCTTTACTCAGATGGATCAACAATAATATTCATCTGCTGACTTTTCTTTTTTTTTTTTGGACACAGAGCATTATTCAGTTACCCTGGATAGAGTGCTATGGTATCATAGCTTATGGCAACCTCCAACTCTTAGGCTCAAGAGATCCTCCTGCCTCCGCCTTCCAAGTACCTGGGATTTCAGGCACCTGCGATAACACACAGCTAGTTTTTCTATTTTCAGTAGACATGGGGTGGGGGGGTCTTGCCTTTGCTCAGGCCTGTCTTGAACTCCTGAGCTCAGACCATCTGCCCACCTTTGCCTCCCATAATGCTAGGATTCAAGTGTGTGCCACTGCACCAGCCTTTTGCACACTTTCTAATAGGGTTATGTGATCTTTTCTTGATGATGTGCTGTAGTTCTCTGTAGATTCTGGTTATCAGCCTTTTACCAAATGTACCCACATAAAATGTACAAATATTTTCTCTCATTCTGTGGGTTGTATATTTATTGTATCCTTGGCTGTGTAGAAACTTTTTAATTTGATCAGGCCCTATTTGTTTATTTTGGTTGTTGCTATGATTGCTTTTGAGTTCTTCATACACTTTCCCTAGGCTGATAGCTGTAAGTTTTTTCAATATTCTCTTCTACAATTCTTTAAATTTCATGCCTTAGGTTTAAGTCTTTTATCCATTGTGAATTAATTTTTGTAAGTCCTGAGAGGTACAAATCCTGTTTTAGTATTTTACATGCATCTATCCAGTTTTCCCAGCACCATTTACTGAATAGGGATTCTTTCACCCAATGTATGTTTTCATCTGCTTTGCCAAAATTCAGACAGTAACATGAGGATGGTTTCACCTGTAGGTTCTTTAAACCATGGGTCCATTTTGCCAGTACCATGTTGTTTTGGTTACCACAGCCTTGCAGTATAGGTTGAAGTCTGGTAAGGTGACGCCTCCCACTTTGTTCTTATTACATAAGGTTGTAATGCCTATTTGGGGTCTTTTCTAGTTAGAACACTGAACTATATTTTTCTAAATCTGTAAAAAATGGCATTGATATTTTGGTGGGGATGGAACTGAATCCGTAAATCACTTTTAGTATAGCCACTTTAACAATGTTGATTTTGCCAATCCACAAGCATGTTTTTCCATCTGTTTACATCCCCTGGAATTTCTTTTCTGTTTCATGGTTTTCCACATAAAGGTCTCTCCCTTCCACGAGAGGAAGGGATAAATATATCTCTAAGTATTTTACATGTATTTTCTTTGTTACTACTGAGAAAGGTATTACACCTTTGATTTGAATCTCAGCTTGACTATTGTCAGCATGTACGAAAGCTGATTTTTGTATGTTGATTTTATAACCAGTGACTTTGCTGAATTTATTTACCAATTTCAGGAGACTCTTGGGCAAAATCTCTGGGGATATCTACAGAGATCATATCATCAACAAAGAGTAATAATTTGTCCTCTTCTTTCCACATCTCGATACTCCTGACTTCCTTCTGATGTCCAACATACATATGAAAAAATGCTCAATCTCTCTAATCATCAGAGCAATGAATGCAAATCAAAACCACCATAGGACATCAACTAACTCCAGTGAGAATGGCTCTGATTAGAAAGTCCCAAAACAAGTGCTGGTGTGGCTGCAAACAGAAATTTGTACACTGTTGGTGGGACTGCAAACTAGCACAACCTCTATGGAAAGTCATGTAGAGATACTTTGAGGAACTAAAAGTAGACCTACCATTTGATCCAGCAAATCCACTACTAGGTATTTACCCAAAGGACATAAGGTCATTTTATCATAAAGACACTTGCACTTAAATGTTTATAGAGGCACAATTCACAATTGCGAAGATGTGGAAACAACTCAAATGCCTATCAATACATGAGTGGATTAATAAAATGTGGTATGTGTATACCATTGAGTACTGTTCAGCCATAAAAAAAGGTGATCTAGTAGCTTTTGTAACAACCTGGATGGAACTGGAGACCATTCTTCTAAGTGAAATATTGCAGGAATGGAAAAAACGAAAACAAAAACACCAATGTACTCAATACTAAATGGGAACTATCAATCAATACTGACATGCACATATGGAAGTAAACAAGGGGAATCAAGGGGTGGGAAGGAGAAGGAGAGTTGGGTTAATTCACATTAACAGGTACAATGCACACATTCTGGGTGCAGGGCATACTTATGACTTTGACCTGAAATGTACAAAAGAAAATTATGTAATCAAATCATATGTATCTCTGTAGTACAAAAGAAAATTATGTAATCAAATCACATGTATCTCTGTAGTACAAAAGAAAATTATGTAATCAAATCACATGTATCTCTGTAGCATTATAAAATTTAAAAAGAAAAAAGACAAACTTGAGCAAAAGCAAGACCCTGCTCTTAAAAAATAGAAAAATTAGTTGGGCATGGTGTAGGGTGACCAGACATCCCAATTTTGGCAGGATAGTCCCGTTTTTCAACAATTTGTCCCGCGGCATTTTAAAAAAGAAAAAAGTCCCGATTTTTGGAAAGAATGCACGAATGGGCTGGAGAACAAGAAGAGAATATATGGTTTTCGGCTGCCATATGGCTATTTCGCCAGAATATAAGTTTTATATTATTTTTGTTAATTTTATAATGTTAAACTGTAATAAATAATTGCTGAGAAGTGATTATCGAGAACTGCTTATCGAAGTCTGCATTGTTGTCAGGCCCTGCCTGCCCCATCCCCTGCCCCGTGCCCCTGCTCCGCCCCCCAGCCATGTTGTCCCACCTTACAGATGTTAAAATCTGGTCACCCTAGCATGGTGGTATGTGTCAGTAGTTGCAGCTACTCAAGAGACTGAAGTAGGAGGATGGCTTGAGCCCAGAGTTTGAGGCTACAATGAGCTATGATGATGCCATTACACTGACAGAGCTGTACTTTCTCAAAGAAACAAAAAAGATACAGGACGTTAGCATTTTGATATACATATACATTGTGAAATGCTTACCATTATCAACCTAATTGACATATCTATCAATTCATATAATTACCATACTTTGTGTGTAAGAACATTTTAACTACTTCATTTTAGAAGCCATTTCACTCCACAAACCCAGCAAGTTGCCTGGTCTATAGAGAGTATCCAATACATGTATCTTGCATGAATCAATAAAAATAAAGAACTTAAACTGTAAACTAAATTACTAGCTGACAGGGACCTAAATCTGAGATAATGATTAGCTAGGATTTTGCCTAATATATCAAGGTAACATGTATTCATTACAGTAGGACCTCTGTAAACTGACCACCCAAGGGATTGTAACAAACTGTTTAATACATCGAGGTGGTCAACATAAGGAACCAGGCGTACGTGCTGATATGTACATGTGGAGCATGTCCAATCTAAGAAAATTAGGTCAACTTAAGGGAGAGATCAGTGTAGGAAGGTGATCAACTATAGAGGCTCTATTGTATTCTTACGTATACATTAATGACCACTGTGAGTTTGATACTATGAACATAAAGTTAGACAAAATACAGCTCCTATACTCAAGCTCAGTCCAACATGAGGGACAGAGATGCAAAGAAATAAAAATGTAATAATGCTATAATACATTTCTAGAAAAGTAGAATCCTCATTTTTCTTGTTTACTATCAACATATGCTAGAACACAGTGGGTGCTTGATTACTACTCAATGACTGAATAGACGGATAATGAATGTAATATGTGTCACCAAGTCTGCTAGAGAGAAAAATCAGAAAGCCTTCAAAGAGAAGGCTACTTGAGCTAAGTCTTGAACAAAAGGAGTTTACCAGATGAGTAAAGGGGACACCAAGTTAGAAGCAATTCTAACTTCTCCATCAATGTGCTTTCTATTCAACTATAGCTAATTGTCTTATACCTCTGAAGATCACTATAAGCACTATAGTGGTTTTAAAACATGTCCACAAATTACCTGAGACTTCTTCCTTCCACAGGTAGAGCTTAATTTCCTTTCCCTTATATATAAGGCAGAATTTTTAAACTACTTTGCTCCTAATAAATACTATGTGACAAAAGTGACGGTTTGTGATGTCTGAGATTGAGACACAAGGAAATTGTGGTTTCCTCCTTGCTCCACCTGAAGAAAAGCCAGATGGCACACATGAGGACACTCAAGTACACATGGAGAGGTCTATGTGGAGAGGAACAGAGAACAGGTTGCAGACAGAGGCCTAAACTGTCAATCCAGCCTCAATCAAGCCTTCAGATGACTGCAGGTCAAAACTAAACAGCTGAGTCTCCCCCACCCCCCAGATTCCTGAACCACAGAAATGTAAAGTAGAGGACAGTCCATGGAGGAGAACAAAAGGATTTTGTTTTATGATTTGCTCTGATGTTTTGTTTACAAATGAGGGACAACCTTGTCAAGTTAACATGGTGAGAAAAGAGGGACTATGAACACACACATGTATATGTATGATTTACTGACAGATTTGACTTCCCATTCTGTGCAAAGTGTTACAGTCAAAACAAAGATACAGTCCCTTCAACTGTCTAGTTGAGGAAATAAAAATTAATACACACTATGTGAGAAAATATCTGGTACACAATAACGTTTAAGTTTATGGCACGTCTAATATTAATCAACTGATATTTAACTAATTAATGTTACTTATGTTGAAGTAATGTTTATTTGTTTACTTTTTTTTGAGACAGAGCCTCAAGTTGTCACCCGCGGTAGAGTGCCATGACATCACAGCTCACGGCAACCTCCAACTCCTGGGCTCAAGCGAGTCTCCTTTCTCAGCGCCCGCCACGACGCCCGGCTATTTGTTGGTTGCAGCCATCACTGTTGTTTGGCGGGTCGGGGCTGGATTCAAACCGGCCAGCTTAGGTGTATGTGGCTGGCGCCTCAGCCGCTTGAGCCACAGGTGCCCAGCCCCGTTTACGCCTTTACTCACATCAGTGTTACCTTAATGGTACATAAAACTCAAGGCCTTTGGCCTCACAGACTTTAGAGCAGATCTGGTCCCATCACAAAGACTCCAGGAAAATGAATTTTCAACATCTGCACATCTTAAATTCTTACGGGCTGTTTCCTTGTACACAACATGGCAAATTAATTTTTGTTACAGCTTTTAGTTCTCTCCCCTTCGCCAAATTACATTCCAGAGAACTTACATTTGAAGGCCAGCATCACGGGTGAAGATGAATTAACACCCCTCCCTTCTCTTCTTTGGTTATGTGGAAAATTGTCATGCTTCCTTTTCCTGAACCCTCCTGATCCTTATGTAGAGAACAAAAAAGTTGGAAAGGGACATGCCATCACCAAAAGTTTCCAAAAACAGAATATAAGCAAACCCTTCCTTCAAACCTCCCCACGAGGGCCCTTGCCAGAAGCCTTCTCCGCAGACTGACAGAATAGCAGCCCTGCCTTTTCCCCTAAACCATCCAGGCTTCCACCAACTGGTCCCTTGATAAAGCACAAGGAGAGCCGAGCTAGAATAAAATCACAGCTCGGAGACTGAAGAAAACGAGGGGCCTAAGTAGGGCCAATCTGGCCGGGGACAGACCTGGAGCCACAGCCCCCGAGAGCGAGCAAGGAAAGGCACCCTTCAAAGCTAAGGAGAGGGGGAAATCACACAAACGGGCAGAACACCCCTCTGAACAACAGCGCCCGGGGCAGGTGAAGACACCACCTTCTCTGCCGCTCATGTCGGCAAGGCCTCCGGTAAGACGAGCGGCGAGGGAAAGCCCTGGACCCAGCGGCGCACACACGGCGCCGGCCGACTACACAAGCGCTCTCCGCAGCCTCCCCGACGTCGACGCACTGGCCGGAAGCGCGCTCCCTGCGCGCCGGCGTACTTCCGGCCTGCGTCGCGAGTCCCTGCCGCTCGCTCCGCCCCCCGCGTGATCCGGGGACCCTGCGCCTGCGCTCTGGAGACAGAAGCTGCGCGCCTCACAGCAAGCTCTGTAAATAAAAACAAAATGCACCTTCTAAGTTAGGAGCTGAGACTTCTGTGAAGGTAAAAGGAAGCGGCAAAAAAAATAAAAAATGTACGAGACTTTTTTTTTTTCAAGGTACCTTTGGGACGCTCCCGCCCGCCTACAAGGCCGGACCCGGCGTCGCGCGCGGGGCACCCTGGGGGTTGTAGTCCGCCCGCGGGAGCAGGTCGTTTGGGGGAGGAGGGAGCCTCCGTGCTCTCTGAGCGTGTAGAAAAGTCTTCCCTGGAGCCAGGCCTAACCTTAGAGTGGGGCGTTTTCAACTTACCCCTGCTGGCAGTGATGCCAGGAGCATTAACAGTGATGCAAATACGCGAGTCAGTCAGTGAACGTGTCTCTGCTTTGTCTCACGAGGTAAAGCTTGCCGTTCGGTTCTCCGCCCACCTCTCCGCTCCCCGTTTCCCCTTCTTCCCTTCTCCACTGTCCCCTCTCGCTTCAGTCCTTTCCTTCTTGGTCCTCGGGAGCCAGGCAGCCTGTGTTCACATTTGCTTCCTCCACGGAGTGTTTGCGCGACCTCGAGGAAGCAATTAACCTCTGGGCCTCGCATTCTTTATCTGTAAAATGGGAATAGAATAGTACCCGCCTCATAGGGTTTTTACCAAGGCCCGTGAAGGCTGTCTTTCACATATTAAGTGCCGAATTAAATACTAGATTCGGTACCTTCCACTTAATATGTGTATCTATGGCTCTCTAAAGAGAGAGAAAAGTTCTGCACCGCTGAACTGTGAGCTTTTTCTTATGGGCAGATACCGTGTTACCTTACTAACTAGATTTTGATCTGGTCATATACCCAGTGCTTCTTAGCCCTCTGCTTTACCCCTTCAAAGCCCCCAGCAGTGTTTGTGGAAGAATGATATTTGCATGGAGATAGGTAATCAGGTGGCAGTTCAGCACTCTCAGGCCAAGGTGTGGTATGTTGGGTGCCTTGGGCCTGCCAGAGAACACAAGTACATTTTATTAAACTGTTTCTAAATAACCTCCATGTTGTAGGCGGGTATTATGTACACAGTCTTTCCTCCTTAATTTGGGAACAAAGGAACAGTGAATGAAATAACTTGGCTAGAATATGGTAGTAACTTCCAGGCACAAGAGTGACCTGGAAAGGTTTTCTGCTCTGGGTTCCAACCCTAAAGTAAAACAGTAAGGAATACATGAATTGATTGGCCACATTCCTTAATTCAGTGGTTCTCTACCTTCCTAATACTGCAACCCTTTAATACAGTTCCTGTGGGTTGCAACCCACAGGTTGAGAACCACTGCCTTAATTCATCAACCTTGCTTGATGAGTTAATTGCTTTGTGGATGTCAGCCCATCTCCTGAGTTTGTGTGATGTTTGACCCTGCCTACATCCATCTGTATCCCCCAACTCTTCTATTAGGACTTGGCAATGCCATAAAAAAAGGTAAGTCTAATATAGATCTACTGGTTTTAATGAGAACCCACCCCCATCCAAGGAAGCCAGTTACAAACATTTTAAGAGTTGACACTTGTGATACCATAATCTGGGGAAAGGGTATTTTCCCCTTTAATATGTGTTTAATGGTTAACTCTCCTGGAATAGCAGCTCCCAAGATCCCAGCCTCCCCAAACCTGATCAGCATAATGTCTTTTCTTTCTCCAGACACCACACCCTGTTCAGCTACATTAAACTGCTTTTCACCGCTTGCCATAAATGCAGTGATTAGAACACTAAGTTTTATAACCTGTGATGAATGCTCAAAGTACTTAATGGAGGTGAATCCCAGGAGCATTTTCCCAGCACTTATTTGCATATACATTTACCCCAGGCTTTCCTAGGTGTCACAACTTCTTTGTCGGGGAAATAGCTTTCAACCTCTGTGGCAACTTGTGTCCCTACCCTGTCTCCTTACTTTATTGCTTCAGATGCAAACATGTGATTTTTAGTACTTGGCAAACAGTTTTTTGTTTGTTTTAAAAGAAACACTACCACCCCGAGTCAGAGAAAGGAAAGGAAAGATTTTCAGTAAGACCTTACCTCTGGGCTCGGCGCCTGGGGCTCAAGCGGCTAAGGCGCCAGCCACATACACCTAAGGTGGCGGGTTCGAATCCATTCCGGGCCGCCAAACAACAATGATGGCTACAACCAAAAAAATAGCCGGGCGTTGTGGCGGGTACCTGTGGTCCCAGCTACGCGGGAGGCTGAGGCAGGAGACTCGCTTAAGCCCAGGAGTTGGAGGTTGCTGTGAGCAGTGAAGCCATGGCACTCTACCCAGGGGCACAGCTTGAGGCTCTGTCTCAAAAAAAAAAAAAAAAGACCTTACCTCTGGATGCTCTTAACCACTTCTGTGGAATTCTGATTACCCATATTTGACTCTGGATAAAGCACTGAGTTTTTCCACTATGCTGTTGTTATTCATTTCATAATTCCTTGCATTGGTCACCATTACAGGAGAATATCAAAATTGATGTGAATATCAAAATTGATTTTGTAGGGTGGCGCCTGTGGCTCAGCAGGGTGCCGGCCCCATATACCGAGAGTGGTAGGTTCAAACCTGGCCCCAGCCAAACTGTAACAAGAAAATAGCTGGGCATTGCAGCAGGCGCCTGTAGTCCCAGCTACTCAGGAGGCTGAGGGAGGAGAATCACTAAAGCCCAAGAGCTGGAGGTTGCTGTGAGCTGTGATGCCACAGCACTCTGACGAGGGTGACAAAGTGAGACAGAGTCACTTAAAAAAATTGGTTTTGATTATTGAAAGAAATTTGATTATTGAAAGCAATTGGTTTTGATTATTGAAAGAAAATTATATAATTAAGTAAGAGGAGAAATACAGGCAGGGCCTCAAGAGGTTATCTGTTTCAGCATTTCTGAGTTTCTGTTTGGGCAACACAGCCTTTATTCCACTCTTGTGTGAGTGAGCTGAATTTGAAAAGGAAGCACGTGGATTAAGGTAGATGAGAATATAAAAGTTCAGAGGGGTAGGGATTGGTGCATTCATTCCTTTTGGGCAGGACAGTTCTATGTGGGCGGGTCCCTACATTGGCCCTATCATCCTAGGACGGGAAATCATGAGGAATTGCCAGAATTGTGAGTGACCTAGTCACGGCTAACTGCAACCTCAGACTTCTGGGCTCAAGCAATTCCCCTCCCAAGTCTGAGACCATATGCACGCACTACCACTCCTGGCTAATGGTTTCTATTTTTTGTGGAAACAGGGTCTTGTTCCTCCTTAAGCTGGTCTCAAACTCCTGGCCTCAAGGAATCCTCCTGCTTCCGCCTCCCAAAGTGCTAGGATTAAGGCATGGGCAACTGTGCTCAGCCCAAGAGTGATCATTTTTAAAAAGATAAACATAATATTTGAAAGATACCTGTCAGATCTAGAGTTGTATTGTGAAGTATACAAATTATCAATTTGCAGATTGCTTTTTTTTTTTTTAAGTCAATACTAAGATGTAGTAGCAAAAAAAGGTTTTACTTCTGGTGGCGCCTGGCCTGTGGATCAGTCAGTAGGGCACCGGGTTGGTGGGTTTAAACCCAACCCTGGCCAAACTGCAACAAAAAATAGCCGAGTGTTGTGGCAGGCACCTGGGGTCCCAGCTACTCGGGAGACTGAGGCAAGAGAATTGCCTATGCCTAAGAGCTGGAGGTTGCTGTGAGCTGTGACACCACAGCACTCTACCAAGGGTGACAAGATGAGATTCTGTCTCTAAAAAAAAAATAAAAAATGTTTTACTTCTTTTACAAAACAAGAGGGAAGCTGGTATTTGAAGACTTAAAGAGTAATGAGTAAAACCACAGTGATGTCACTTTACATCCATTAGGATGACTATATAATAATAATAAAATCAAAATAACACTTGTTGGTAAGGGTATGGAGACATTGGGACACTTATACGTTGCTGGTAGGAAGGTATAATAAAATGGTACAGCCACTATAGAAGACAATTTGGCAGTTCCTTAAAAAGATAGAGACAGGGTTACCATATGACCCAGCAATTCCACTCATAGCTATATACTTTGTACACAAATATTCATAGAACTGTTCACAGTAACCAAAAGGTTGAAACAACTGAATGTCCATTCAATAGAGACGGGGTATTCCCAGCTCAGGCTGGTTTCAAATTTCTGAGCTCAGGTAATCTACCCACCTCAACTTCCCACAGTGCTAGGATTACAGCTAGAGCCACATCACCTGGCCTATTTTTGATACATTTTAATGTAAATATATTATTTACCTTATTACATATAAGGTATATATTATACCTTATTTTTTAAAAAGTGAGGTAATCCACCTCACCCTCCCAGAGTGCTAGGATTACAGGTGTAAGCCACTGTGCCTGGCCTGAAAATACAGGTTTTGATTTTTGTTTTAAAGACTTGATGCAAATATATGTATTTCAAATGTTAAATGTATTTTTCTGAACGGTGACATGAGAAATTTTATTTTCATTTTTGTTCTCCAAGTCATTTACAATAGGTATACATTATAATAAGGGGGAAATGTTATTTAGAAAAATGTGTTTTGGCTCGGCGCCTGTGGCTCAAGTGGCTAAGGCACCCGCCACATACATCTAAGGTGGTGGGTTCGAATCTCCAGCCCGGACCCGCCAAACAACAATGACGGCTGCAACCAAAAAATAGCCGGGCGTTGTGGCGGGCGCCTGTGGTCCCAGCTACTTGGGAGGCGGAGGCAGGAGACTCGCTTGAGCCCAGGACTTGGAGGTTGCTGTGAGCTGTGATGCCACAGCACTCTCCCCAGGGGACAGCTTGAGCTCAAATGTGTTTTTGAACGTCAGGATATGAGGGTTTCCCCCTTCTCTCTGCCAAATGTATTGCGTATTCTTTTGTTCT